GTCTCCCCCCCCCCCCGATCTGTTCTACGTTTGCTATCCATTTGACCGTTTCCTGTGCTCAGTTTTTATTTATCCCTCAGATCCACTTGACCTCTGGATTCTCCTCTTTACTTCTCTTTGTAGCTTTACCCCTTTCTGCCTTAGTTCATTTCTTTTTCTCTCAAGATTTTTTTTTTCTAATTGCTTTTTATTTTATCATTGGACACTTTGGTTCCCCAGGGAACGAAATGACATTAATATTGTTTGATAACGAAATGAAACTAGCCTAATACTACAATGAGATAGTATGAGTTTATGTACTCGTAAATGAGTTTTTGTACTCGTTTAACCTTTTCAATAAAAATTTATATGGAATAAGATAACATTATATGCATTAACCACAGCTATCTGTCCTGAAGCTGCAAGAGACTGTCACTTTGCTCGTTCAAGGGGTGTCGCATGGGAACATTAGCCCAAAAAAGGGCCTAAATAACCAAATAAAAAAAAAAAGTTCACGGACCATTTAGTGCAGTGGTGGTCAACTTAGAATGTATAGAAGACCTCACCCATGGCGCCTGACACCACCCAGAGGCCACACATAATATAATATATGTCACGCTATAGAAGACTGTCAAGACTGCAGGAGATAGTCAGAGACTGTGGACATGCTACAGTTGTGGGTGAGGACATATTACATAAGAATGCTAGAAATCACTGCCATTGCAGCCCCCCTTTACAGTTCAGTGCTTCAATTCTACTAAACTGCTGGTGTACAAGGGCTGCACCAATAAGGCTGTACATGGCCATCAGGCCGCAGGTTGGAAACCAGGATTTTGTGGGTGGAAAAGGCCACAATGTTTATTAAGGTGTTTCTTCTTATTTATCTATTTTTCATGTAAAACCAAAATGCTACAGTCATTAGCCACCTTAATAAAACTAGCTTTAGAAGCACAGGTCAACTTAATGAAATAATTAACATTAGCTAGGTCCATTCTGCTTCCCCGGCTAACCCTCACCAACCGGAAGAGATTTAAGACTATTGACAAATTCTGTGTGCCAAATTGTCCAGCCATTAATGTTTACATGAAAACATTCCCAAATGTTCAAGTGTATTTCTACTTTTGCAGCCAAATTGGTATAACACCTACTTTATATTTGTTCCCATCCACATTGCATAATTTAGAAATTGCTGCTTCCATTTTTAGGTGCTTTTTATACTTGCGTCCTAGCTTACCCCTATAAAATGTTAAGGACGAGGCTAAGGGAAGCTATTTTTACCATTTATTAACCCTGTCTGAAGTGGCCTGATAGACTTCATTATAAGTTGTAAACTAGGTTTTAACAGTCACTGTCCTAAGATAGTGTTTAAGAGCAAGAAGCATTGTATGTGGATGAGGGGAAGCTCTTTTGTGTCCCATGTCTTTCTATGGGGATAGAATCCCTTTCAAGCTGTTCAGAATAGCTTGCAGTCTGCACAAAGACCTCCTCCAAAGTAAATATCTAAAAGGTAAGAAATCTTATTTTAAAAAGCATTTGGTATGCTCTGGGAATGGGAACACATAACAAACATATAGAGGGGTTTTCTCACATTTTACTGTAAAGTGGAACTATCCTTTATCTTCCTCTTTTATCTACCTAGAAAGTCTTAAATGATAAAAGGGGAATTTTAGTCCACTTATGGTTATGACAATTGTCTATAAAATATTCTACCCATAGGGGTAACTCTAGAAGAAAACGCTAAAAGTCTCAATAATGATTGTAAAGCAAAGTAGCATCCTGCTCAAAAAGGAGGAAATCGAGGTTCTGGGTTTAGGAATTTTTTATTTTTTTTAGGTTGCAGTCTAAATTCAATGACAGAAGAATCAACAGTAATAGAGAGAAACTCCAAATCTGGAGGGGAATGTTTTTTTCCCTCTGCAAAGGAATACCAAAAGAGGAACATGTCTAATAACATATTGAAAGTAAATCAAGAAACATATTGTAATCAGGAGGACCCATAAAAAGAAAGTCATCCAGTTCATTCAAAATCTCTTTCCCTAAAAATGCTGCTGAATAAGCCGTTGTGGAAAAGGCTTCAAAATACAAGGTGGACAAAGAAAGCCCCCTAGGTAGACATTTATCAGAACAATTATAAGAATGATCAAAATGAAAACCTAAAGAACTACACCCTCTGATATCCAAAGCAGATATCAAAGCAGCATTTTGGTTACTCCCAGTTAATCAGAGTGCCACAGCTAAATCATTATAGCAAAATGAAGGCATCGTCAAGAGTAAGATACAGAAGACCTGGTCTAATCAGCCTCATTAATTGGTGATTCACTTGATGGAAATAAAAAAATGGTGAATGATTGGATAAGAACCATACGGCTTCTTAGGAACCATGAGGAGACATTTGAAATTGGGAAAAGGCAGCAAGACAAACAGGCCTGTGACCTTAACTTCTTCCAAATCTTTTACTCAACATTACACTCATGATTACACTTGTATTGGGATAAGAATTCCCAATGGGATTTGTTATATGCAAAGCACAATTTCTTATGACAAGGGGCTGAGGAGGAGGTGGCAGGTTTTGGAAACTGCCACAGGTCTATCTTATTTTGCAACAGACACTATATAACAAAGCGCCAGCGGCTTGAGTCCAGGAAAGGAGACAGTCTGCAGTGATCGTGATACAAGACGCTAACGAGGCAGCTCTCACTAGCTTTTAGGGAAACCTCAGCACTGCAAAACAAAACACAGAGCGCCTCCATCGCGTACAAACTTTTTATTAACACAAGTGCAATGATACTCACAAACGTCGAGTTAAAACAGGCATGAAATGATCTGAACACGAGGGACTTAGCCAGCCGGCTGTTCGTCCTCCCTGATGGTTTACGCGTTTCTGAGGTCACACCTCCTTCGTCAGCACCAAGCCTGTTTTAACTCGACCTTTGTGAGTATCATTGCACTTGTTTTAATTTGTTTTGCTATCTTATTTTGACCTATCCTTACCCCTCTTTTACATTTTTAAACAAAAGTTATTTTGCAAGATGGTAAAAGTGGCAATAAATTGATGAACTCTCCCCTCCAAATTTGGCCAAGAGGTGACAATTTACAGGGCAAGTTTTCAGACATAACCGTTTGATAGATAGATGAAGGGTTTGGAATATTACTACTAAAAGAATCAGTAGAAAAAACATTTAAAAAATTTGCCCCAGGTGAGGATATCATCCCGCTAGAAGGCAGTAAGACCTCAAATAGTGCATCAGCCATAACAGTACTAGACTGAACGCCACCAAAGTGCTCAGCATCCGAACCAGCATTACCTGACTAAACCTGTGTTTAACAGGCTAATGCTAATAATAGAATTGTTAGTAGTAGTAGTAAGAAAACTTGCGTATTCTCTCAACCAATGCAGATTACAAAAAGGGGGCCAGGGTGACCGTGCAGCCATCTCCTATGGAAAGGGGGTGCGTGCACTGCTGAATCCCTAACAGCCATTGCTGATAATGGTGCAGATTGCCTTACTGGCCTACTAGGGGAGGAATCCAGGGAGTATGTCTTCCTCTGTCTTCTTTCTCTTTTGTCGTTCCATTCCTGAACAGTACTGGTATACATACATACATGATATACATACAGGAAGCTGCATAGATTCAAAACCTTGGCATTTACCAAGCAGATATGACTGAATTGTGTCTTAGTGCAATAGACTAGAATCTCTCTCTCTCTTTACTGAAGCGCTTCACCTCTACAAACTGTTTTCTTGGTGACTAGCTCCCTATAATGATGGCAGTCTATAATAGGACAGGAAAGTGGCTGAGCTGTCCCCAGCAATGTGTTGTCATATTTGTCCACAAGGTGGCAGCAGAAGTTAATTTCCTTTTTTTTATTTTTAAACCTGAAAGTTTGGCCTTTTCCCAAAAATAATGTGTTTGCAGTTGTAGTTTCAGGAATGTGATGTGTGAAATAGTCATGCTTGCAGGAAGTTTCACTAAATTAGCCAGCAATTCAACAGCAGTGGGAAGTCATCACGGAAGCCCTTGTATAAATATTTGTGTAGTTAACATTATAATTATTTTCTCATTTTCTCTCTTAAGGTTTTACCTGATTGGCGGCGGCATTCCTATCATTGTCTGTGGGATAACAGCAGCGGCAAACACTAAAAACTACGGGAGCCAGCCCACTGCACCATAGTAAGTAATTCATGGATCTCTAAACCCACACATTCAGCTTTCTTTTCAGATATAAACCATAAGGACAAAATATTTTCCCTTGTTATGGTGAGAAGCGACTAAAGGAACTAAAAATCCTTGCAGTTCAATCAGCCCATTAGACAGTATACCCTTCTTAGAACAGGTTCCACCCACTCTCCTAAAATAAGGTATAGTCCTTTTATTTTGGGATAAGTGATGTAATGAGACACCTGAATACCTTATGTTCAGCTAAGGCTCTACTGTGCTGTAAACTGATTTGGTTAGAGGTATTTTTGATTTGTTTGGTGCCTTCTCACAATAGCCTTAACCCCTTCGCGTCCACAGACGTACCTAGTACTTCATTGGCAGCACGGTCCTGTGAAAGGATCCGGGGGCTCATTCTGGCGTCTCAGATTGCTTCTATGGGCAGGTAAAGTACCCGTCCCGTCCCCACCAGACGCCCCCGCCGTGTTTCACGGTCTCTGCTGCAGGCCTGGGGCCGACATGTCTGGTGCCGGCAGGAAGCTGGGGAGGAGAGTGGTGAACTTTCGTTCACCGCTCTCCTCCCCACTCTATGGGACCAGGATGGATGTAGATTGCATCACTTTCCGGTCCCTGAGCTGTCATTGCTCGTCTAGTGAAGCCGAGCAATAAGCTACTGAAGTGCAATGTACCCCCATGTGATAGCAATAAAGTAAAAAAAATAATATAGAATAAAATAATTTTAAAAAAAATTAAATCCCTCGCGAGCACGCGCACATTGACACGTGTCGGGTGCGCCTACGTACGAAAATGTCGATCGCGCTACACATCTTTGGTATCACTGCACACGCCAGAGTGAGAGCAATAATTCTAGGGCCAATATTTACCTGCATCTCTAAACTGATGACCTGTGGGGGCTTTCAAAGCATAGTTTAAGCACTTTTTGGGGTACTGAATTTTGTCGCCGTTTCACAGACGTGCACAATTTTTAATCTGGGTGTGTTTGGTATCTATTTACTCGTTGTAACCTCATATTTTATCATTTACAAAAAAACTTGCTATTTTATTGTTTTGGAGCACTAAAATTAACATTAGTGCAGTTTTCACTAAATGTTTGGGTTTGATAAAAAGTTGCGCCAATATCGTGCATCATAAAAATTTGCAACTGCCACCATTTTATTCTACATGGTGTTGGCTTTCAAAAAATACATCATGTTTTGGGGGTTCTAAGTAATTTTCCCAAAATGTGCATTATATCATATGTGCAAAAAAAAATGCCTTGGCAGCGAAAGGGTTAATGGTTCTACTTGCTCAATGGGTCACAAGCCCTACTACAGGGGTGTCCATAAGGTCGATCGCGATCTACCAGTGATCGCGATGTCCTGTCTTCTCTGGATCCCTGCTGCTCTCCCCCATCTGTATGCAGCGGGGATCCGAGGAAAAGTAAAGCTGCAGTCAGCGGCGCGGGACGGAGCCGCTATGGCAGCAGCACGCCGAGCGGTGAGGAGAGAGAGAGCCGCTTCTGATAGCCGGCGACTCTCCTCACTGCACATGCTGCTGTTACAGCGGCTCCGTCACCCGCCCATCCCCCAACCCTCTGCAGGGGAGAGAAGTTGCCCCCCTCTGTGCGTGGCCGAGCGGCAGAGGATCGGTACATATCAATGATATGTACCAATCCTCTGTGCAGGACAAACACTGGAGCGATCAGCTGATCACTCCAGTGTTTGTAAATAACTGAGGACACACAGTACTATGTGTCCTCAGTTATGAATGAACACTATGTGATTTACATCACTTCCTGTTCATTCATGAGTTTATCAATGGGGACAAGCACTCTGTACAGAGGCTCCTCCCCATTCAGAAACTGGATGATAGTAAAATATTTTCTTAATGAATGGGAAGTCTCTGTGCTTTCCATTCATTTAGGACCGAGGCAGCAGAAAAAGAGATTGAGGACTTTGTGTCCTCAATTTCTTTTTCTATTTTAAAAGGGAAATATCAGGGGGCTGTTTAGACCCCTAATATTTCCCGGAAGCCCCCCCAACAGTAAAAAATATAAAATTAAAAAATAGTAAAAAATCCTGGAGGCAGGGCGCTGCCTCCAGGGGCCTGTTGGAGTGTGCAACGCCGTGCCTCTAGAACGCACTAGAATGCGTTCAGGGGCGGGAGGGGGCATGGGGTTGCACCGCAGCCATGTCCTCTCCCCACAGTTTGATCGCCCGCACATTAGGCACATTAGTGTCTACATTCCGGTCCAGTGTGATCTGCAAAAATAGTGCAGCATTTTTGCAGATCGCACTGGACCGGAACGCGTCCCTGGATGTGAATTTGGCATTTAGGGTATAAAGGAATGATTTGTATGGTTCTCCTCACTGTCCTAAACTAGGAAATAATGCCCTTATTTTTCGGATCTGTGATAGAATGAGACATTTAAATATCTTCTGTTAGAGGAAGGCTGTACTGTACAATGCATTATCTACTCTTGTGAAATTCTAATGCACTTGTTTTTATTATTTTCAGCTGTTGGATGGCTTGGGAACCAAGCCTCGGAGCCTTCTACGGTCCAGCAAGTTTTATTGTCTTTATAAACTGCATGTACTTCCTCTGCATATTCATTCAACTCAAGCGCCACCCTGACCGAGTGTTTGAACTAAAAGAGCAAACCGAGGAACAGCAGCGTCTTGCAGCCAGCGAGAGCGGGGAGGGGAACAATCCAGATTCACTCTCTGTGTCTTTAGTATCTACATCAGCTTTGGAGAATGAACAGACATTCCAAGCTCAGCTGCTTGGAGTCAGCCTTACCTTGTTTCTCTATGTTTCCCTTTGGATATTTGGTGCGTTGGCAGTCTCCTTGGATTACCCAATGAATCTGAACTTCAGCTGCTTTTTCGGGGTCACATGTCTAAGCCTTGGTGCCTTTTTAGTGGTACACCACTGCATGAATAGAGAAGATTTGAGAAGAGTTTTAATAATTATGTTCTGTCCAGGAAGAAGTACGTATTCTGTCCAGGTCAATGTTCCACCATCCAACTCTACCGCCACCAATGGTGAGGCTCCTAAGTGCACAAATAGCAGTGCTGAGTCTTCATGCACCAACAAGAGCGCATCCAGTGTTAAAAATTCATCACAAGGCTGCAAACTAACTAACATACAAGCAGCTGCAGCCCAATGTAACACAAACTCATTGCCGGTCAACACAGCCCCCCAACTTGATAACAGTTTGACTGAGCATTCTGTGGACAATGACATCAAAATGCACGTTGCACCCTTAGAGGTTCAATATCGTTCCAACGGTCACCCATCTCGGCATCACAAAAATAGAAGTAAAGGTCACCGGTCAAGCAGACTTACTGTTCTAAGGGAGTATGCCCATGATGTCCCCACAAGTGTTGATGGGAGCGTACAAAACACGGCACCAAGAAGTCGTCCAAGCTACTCTGAAGGTCATTCTCGCAGCAGGAGAGCGTATCTGGCTTATCGAGAACGCCATTTTAACCAGAGTCACCAAGATAGTAGTGACGCCGGTAGCACACTGCCTAGGTATAGCAGAAATATGGAAAAGACAGTTTCTGGCAACCACAAAAAAGACATTTTGAGGGAACCCATAGCTGTGGAACTGGAAAGCCAGCAAAAATCATATGGTCTAAATCTGGCCGTCCAAAACGAGCCAGCTAAAGATGAAGTGGTGGTGGAGGAGGAGCCACCGATAAATGCTGACAGTAATGGAAATGTTAGGACTGGACTATGGAAACATGAAACTACTGTGTAGTACTTCCATGCTGGATTACTGGTGGGAAGTCACCGGACACGGGATTAGTCCATCCCTGCAAAGACTCACTAACTGCTATTGTTTACAGACAATCTTTTTGTATTATTTTTACCTGTACTTTTTTGGGAGAACGCTAACTATGAAGAAAAAAGACTTTTAACTTCAAGTGAACTTATTTGTAAACGACTGTTTGTTTTCACAAGTGATTTTTATTATTTTGTAAGTATTTTTTTATGAAAAAAAAATGTTTTTGTATGTATTTTTGTCATATATTGAATGCCTTGTTCCTTAACGGATTTGTATTTAAACATGTAATAAATGGCTTTTTCACAGTCACGTTTGATACATTTGAAATATGTTCTTTTTTTTGAGCGCTCAACTTACCTGTGTAAAAGTTTTAGCTGTATATGAGGGGGAAACATGTTAGTTTTTATTATTGTTTCTGGGTTTTTTTTACGTCTCATCACTATATGTATGTATTTTGTTTATTTGAAGAATGCAGCTGTAAATATCTATATATTATACAGTGTGGCAAATAATGATTTGATCCCCTGCAGATTTTGTAGGTTTGCCTGCTTACAAAGAAATAAAAGGTCTATCATTTTTATCATAGGTGTATTTTAAATGATAGAGACAGAATATCAACCAATAATCTAGAAAAAACACATGATACTAATGTTATAAATTGAGTTGCAGTTCAGTGAGTAAAATAAGTATTTGATCCCCAAGCAAAACATGACTTGGTGGAGAATCCCTTGTTGGCAAGCACAGAGGTAAGACGTTTCTTGTAGTTGGTTTACCAGGTTTGCACACATCTCAGGAGGGATTTTGGTCCTCTCTTCTTTACAGATTTTCTCTAAATCCTTAAGGTTTCTTGGCTGTCGCTTGGCAACTCAAAGTTTCGCTCCCGCCATACATTTTCTATAGGATTAAGGTCTGGAGACTGGCTAGGCCACTCCTTGACCTTAATGTGCTTCTTTTTGAGCCACTGCTTTGTTGCCTTTGTGGTATGTTTTGGGTCATTGTCACGGTGAAAGACCCATCCATGACCCATCTTCAGTGTTCTGGCTTAGGGAAGGAGGTTCTCATCCAGGATTTTACAATACATGGCCCCTTCCAATGGCCCCTCAATGCGGCAAAGCACCTTTAGCAGAGATATTGTCTCTCTCATTTAAAATACACCTATGATAAAAATTATAGACCTTTCATTTCTTTGTAAGCGGGCAACCCTACAAAATCTGCATGGGATCAAATCATTATTTTCCTCACTGTATATTTGTGAGCGTGCAGTATGCTCTTGCGCACCTCGGGTCGTGCAGCTTTCGTCTTGCGATCGCGTTACCAATCTTTTTGGCGGCCTTTCTAGCGTGCTGGTTATACAAAAATCGCACAACGGTACAGTAAATGCGGACGCACGCTGCCCATCAACCTTACGATTATCGTACGATCGCGGAATCACCCGCGATTATCGTACAATAATCGGCAGATGTATGGGCACCTTGACAGAGATTTTTGAGTCAGTCAGCCTCCCCTCCCACTCCTCCCTCACACCTGGCCTGCTGAGGTGATGCTGCATCTAATGTAACAGCTGTTTTTACCCTTATTTATTTATACAGAGTGACCGCAGTGTTCATAAACGGCCTCTGTGTATAGGAGGCAAGACCTTTTCTGTGATAGTGCAGAACTGATTCCACTTTTATCAGTGGACACACTGGGGGGAATTGCAATTTCCCATGGCAACCAAATCAGCATCTCTCTTCAGTTTGCTCAGTTGGGATTTGAAAATGAGAAAGAGAAGCTGATTGGTTGACATGCAAGTTTGCTCCAGATTTTGTCTGCTCCAGTGTTGATAAATTCCCCCCTCTGTGTGTGGGTCCCTGCTTCTGAGGTGGCAGGTGTCATCACCAGCGCTGCTTCCCAGGCTCTCTGTCAGCACAGCAGCTGCACTTCATGTCCGCTACTCAGACGCTCTCACCCACGGTGGGCCACCAGACTTCTAGGCTGTGAGCTGTTGGGAGGAGCCAGACAGTGTCAAAGTCAGTGTTCTATAATTGTTTTTCGACCCCATACATTTTCTCGACCGCATCACTTACGGTGAGTCCGTGCAGTGGCGTCACAAGGGGGGTGCGGCCCGCACCCGGGTGCCACCAAAATGACAGTCATCCGAATCAGCTGTTTTCATGACCCCCCTTCTGCATGCACACCTGAAAGTAACGTGATAGATACATTTCTGGGTTGAGGAAATTTATAGCACACCAGTAGCAGAGGATTACCTCGTCAGTGCGGTACACGACCGCTGCGACACTGGTAGTTCTGCCACTGACTCCAAGCTGCAGTGTAGAGGGACTACAAATCTCAGCACATTATATAGCACTGTAGATTAATACCATCAGCTATAGATGACTACAATTCTCAGCAATACATTATACAGCAATGCAGAATAATACCATCAGCTATAGAGGACTTTAAATCCCAGCAAAACATTATACAGCAATGCAGAATAATAGTATATTAATTTGCTACATACAATTTGCTGCTCTGCTCCGGGGTGTCAGCCTGATGTCTTGGTCGGAGGGTCTCAGGAGGGGTGTGGAGGGTCTCGGAAGGGGTGGGGAGGGTCTCGGCAGGGGGAGATGTGCGGGCAAGAGAAGAGCTGTAAGCAGGCACCATGTGGTTCTCCAGAAGGCTGCTGCGTGGTCCCCAGCAAACGTAGGACCTAACACAGCCGAATCAATTTGAAAAATTAAAGCACCGATATCGGTTTTTAGTATCGGAAAACTTTCACCAATACTGGTATCAGGGCATCTCTGGTCTGAAGGCCTTTGTAGGTGTCAAAAATCATGTGTAATAACACTAGCTATGACTTTGTCACCCAGCATGTGTGCCCAGACTTGCTCCGCTCTCCTGCTTTTTCTGTGAAGAGTTTATAACGCAGATTGCAGGAATCAGTGTTGTAACACAGGGTGTAGAGGTTAGTGGTGTCATGTAGAGGTCAGTATGTACGCAGTGCAGAGGACAGCAGTGTAATGTAGAGGTCAGTATGTACGCGGTGCAGAGGTCAGTATGTACGCAGTGCAGAGGTCAGCAGTGTAATAAAGAGGTCAGTATGTAACGCAGTGCGGAGGACAGCAGTGTAATAAAGAGATCAGAGGTCACTATGTACGCAGTTCAGAGGTTAGCGTTATAATACAGAGGTCAGTATGTACGCAGTGCAGAGGTTAGCGTTATAATACAGAGGTCAGTATGTACGCAGTGCAGAGGCCAGCGGTCAGTATGTATGCAGTGCAGAGGCCAGCTGGGGGATGTAGAGGTCAGCGGTCAGTATGTATGCAGTGCAGAGGCCAGCGGTGGAATGTAGAGGTCTGTATGTATGCAGTGCAGAGGCCAGCGGGGGAATGTAGAGGTCAGCGGTCAGTATGTACGCAGTGCAGAGGCCAGCTGGGGGATGTAGAGGTCAGCATGTACACAGTGCCGAGGCCAGCGGGGGAATGTAGAGGTCAGTGGTCAGTATGTATGCAGTGCAGAAGCCAGCGGGGGAATGTAGAGGTCAGCGGTCAGTATGTATGCAGTGCAGAAGCCAGCGTGGGAATTTAGAGGTCAGCAGTCAGTATGTACGTAGTGCAGAGGTCACGCAGAAAGAACAGGTACTTACAGTGGTACTTTTCCTTCCTTCAGATGCTGTGCCCTCTTCTCTTCCTCTCCTGGTGGTGGGTAGAGGGGGGAGCAGCGAAGTTGCCTGCATGTCCTGAGGCGATGCCTTCAGCCGCCTCATGGTGTCTCCTGCTCAGTGGCTTTTGGTCCCGCGCAGCATAACTATGCTGCCAGCCAATCGTGTGCAGTCTCCCTCCCAGCCTATAGCAGCTGAAAGGGGAGGGAGCTGCCGTCTGTGGCCGCCGAGGAGCCTGATCGGTACACGGGCAATTAAAACATCTGCTACTCCTGTAAGAATGGCCCCCGCCAGCGCCGCTGCAGCGGCAATCACTTCTTTTATCTCTCCACTTTCGGCTGTTGCAGCGGAGCGGCCAAGGGGAGAGAGATGATAAAAAGAGAGATTACCGCTGTGGCGGCGCCGGTGGGGGCCCTTTTTAAAGGCATCAGAGAGGCCCAGGGGGCAATTGCCACCCTGCCCCCCGTCCCTGTCCGCCCCTGCACTGAGGTGAACTGTGCGACATGTGGGGAAGTTTATACCTCCCCTGGGTCGGGCTATATTTTTCTTACCTGTAAATCCTTGTAGACCTCTACTTCACTCTCAGGTTCTGCTTTGGGGTGCTCGAGACCCTGAGTTCTATTCTATTGGTTTGCAAACTCTTTTTTCTGTTTCAGAATTTTTTTTTCGCATGTGGAGCAAATTACTACTAAAAAGTAGAGTAAAAAGCACCCCCTACTGTCGCCATCACCCTCTGATTCCTCAGGAAAAGAAGAGGTTTTTCCCTTGGACTTCTGTAAAAATAGGGGCGACAGATTGACTTTACTCTGCTAGCCATGATGAAACCTTTTCATCGACTTATTCAAAGAAAGTGGTGGTCTCTGCACTTATTCATTCGGTTTGTGTGCATAGTATCCTAGTGGTCAGTACTTCTGCCTTGCAGCAGAGGGGTCCCTGGTTCAAATCCCAGCCAATACACTAACTGTATGGAGTTTGTTTATACTGACATTTCTGTAGATGCTTCTTCTTGTTCCTTAAGCCAAAGGCCGGGTTCACACCTGGGCGTTCAATATATGCGCGTACGACGCGTGTTTTCGGGACGTGCGTTTTAACCGCACGCCGTGAGCTCATTAACACTAGCCTCTCAAGGTTTGATGACTGTCCAGAGAGCTACAGGGCCTGGAGATCTACCTTCAAGGCTGCAATTGCTGATCTCAACCTTACTACCAAGGAGCAGCTTGATTTGCTCATAAAGTGGCTGGGCCAGAATCTGCAGATCGTGTTAAAAGACTGAGAACAGTACATGTTGACCACCCAGATGCAGGTCTTGTTGCTGCATGGGCAAGACTGGAGCAAGACCATGGTAGCTCAGAAGCCATAGAAAGCGCTCTATTCAAGAGACTGCAAAACTTCCCAAAAATAGGGAACAAAGACTATCGCAAGCTCCAAGATCTGAGTGACCTCCTCATGGAGCTAGAGTTGGCAAAGACAGACCCATGTCTACCTGGACTAAGTTTCCTAGACACTGCTCATGGTGTCAATCCAGTGGTGTCTAAACTGCCATACGGCCTGCAGGAGAGATGGGCGCAACAGGGCTCAAGGTACAAAAGAGACTATAACGTATCTTTTCCTCCATTCTCATATTTTTGCAGGTTCATCAGTGAACAAATGAGACATTC